TCACATTTTTCCTTCCTGCAAAATTTATCTCTCCGCGGACAGGGAAATAATTCACATTTTCGTGCCTGAGGAAATCTGCGGAAAACGTGACTTCAAGGATCACTGGGAAATTTTGCACGGCACGTGGAGATGGCACAAGGGGATTTTCAAAATTCCTCCAACTTGTCCGCACGAATAAAAAAAAATGACTCCTCTTCTAAAATTTATCAAATGTCCTTGGTTTTCAGGCCCAGATACGTAAGGAAATTTTTTTCAGAGTTTTTAAAAAATATGTATTTTCTTCATGATATGATTATGAGAAAACAGGTGTAATTTTACAATAAATGCTTGGTCTGCATTTTTATGGAATAAGAAAAAAAAGGACATAAATTACTTGTGGATTCTCGGCAAAATAGTTAATCATTACGTAAAAGCATAAAAAAGGAAGAATACACAAAACAGAATACTGTAGAACTTTTTTTTTTTTTTTTGCTTTGGATCACTTGCAGGAAAGAAGAACCTAAATCACGAAAACTAATTTCAGTCCCACGTTTTTAATCCTGGGTTTCATCTGAAAATGGTAATTAAGAAAAATTATCAAATTTAAATTTTACTTCGCATTCCAGTCTGAAAAATTCTGGAAATATCATCGCAAAAGGTGGTCCCCTTATCTTTTGCAAAATTGGCAACATTTCACTATCAAATCGAGGACACGAATGAGTCACTTTTCTTCGCATCCCTCGATTCTTACTTTCGCGGGAAAAAAGTAAGAGCCCTAACGGCGAAAACAAAACCAAGTTCCCAGGGATGAGACACTGACTCATTCTTGAAGAATTTCTGATACTGTATTTTCTTGAAAACATCAGTGCAGTAGTGGAAAAAAATTTTTGATTTTTTGCTTTATAGATTCGAATGAAAATGCGCAGCGTAAACAGCATTCGGCACAAACGAAAACTTTCCTCGCCTTAAATTGCAAATACAGTACTAAGTCGTATGACTATATTTCCACAAGTTTTATGCTAAGTATTTATGGAATCCAATCCAACATTAATTTTCATTCACAGTTTCCCATAGCTTGAAATGCTTTAGTTATTTTTTTATGTTCTTCTCATCTACTTGGCCTTCCATCTTGACTGGAATCACTGGAGCTGAGACCTTGGAGCTGAGGTAAGTATCTTAGGTCTTAGTTATACTGTAGGCAGAACTTGCTTTTACAGCAAAATGACTTCCAAAAATAGTACCCCGGCTGGGTACCAAAAAGAAGGGCATTACATTGATCCAGTTCATATCACAAAAAGTATTTAACACAGTAATGAAAGCTGTGCCATGAGGTAACACAATTTGTGTAGAAGAAAACTTTCAACTTACAATTGAACCTTGCTGAGTCAAACCTCCTTAAGTCAAATACCTCCCAAGGTCAAATTTGTATCAAAGTCCCCATCTGGATTCCCTCAGAAACAATGCATTAAAAACCTCCCTAAATCAAAGGCTTTTCATCTAAAATGTGCATAAGCCAAATTTTTAAGGCCATTTGGCTATTATTTTATTGAAACAGGCAAAAGAAAAGCAATAAAAAAGGAGTTTTATGTTCTTGAATGGGTGTGACAGACTAAATTGGGCAAATGAACCCCAAGTTGAGTGTCCTGTCAACTCATTTTAGAAGAAATTTAAAGACCAGAATATCACAATTGTTCAATGTTTCCCAGAATTAAAAAAAAATTGATTCTATAGGTCAAGCTTCTGTAATTCAATATAACTCAAAACCTCTCTAAGTCATAACCTGCCTAAGTTTAAATTTTTTTTTTTCCGGTCCCTTTAAATTCAACTTGGAGAGGTTCAACTGTGGAATCAATCTTAATTCCAACGCCCTCTCCAATCATTGCCATCTTAATCATAATAAAAAAACCAAATCATCATCTTCCTTCACATACTGTACAGGAAATATACACTAAATTTTTAAGTATGCTAATGATGTACAACGAACGACGACCTGCGTGCAAGTACACAATCAACGTCAACCCTCATGCGTCCGTCTACTGAAGGAATCTTTTATTCCCAATAAATTTAAGATTCCGCATGGAATAAATTCATGCTTCTTTCTTTCAACAGTAGCATTTTATATAGTCCTGTGTGGAATAATGACCACATATAATAAGGGAACCCACTCTTTAATAAGGGTTCATGAGCAACATACTGTAGGTACGCACTGCATGGCGTTTGCAGCAGGCTGTTGAACTGCCGCTGGAGGAACAATTGACTCTCGGGGTTAACATTCGTCTCCATCCAGCAGAACCGCATTTCTGAAGGTTGATTCCTAATTGGACCGGTCGGAATTCAGTGACCAGCAGCAGAACCCATTCGAAAATAAAATTTAAATAAAAGGAAAGGCAAACATCACTGATGATGAAGGGTTCCTCGAAATTGACCCTGAACGCCGGGTTTCATCATTATCATTATTATAGACTCCCACGGACGAACAAAGGAAAGTTGTTTCTTCTCTCCCTGCCCGGATCCGAAACACAACACACACACACACACACACAAAAATACACGATTATAATGTGGTCACTTTTTTTCTCACATATTCACTGTTGTACACTCTTACATCATTATACTGTCTACCGAGTCGTGGAGCAGTGATGATGATATGCATGTATTTAATCACATTGAAAAGGTTGATTATTTCCATCGCCGAAATTTAGCGTTCATAGGTTTCTGGAAGAGGACTGACTAACTTGGGTATTGAAAAAATTGGAATTGTTTCATCACTCACGCCGTCTGTGAGTGCCAGTCGGAAAGTGGTGGTGAAGTGAAATGAGCGTCGCCGTTGCCGCGGCTGGTGCTGAGACCCGAAAACTCGGGTTCACAGCATACCGTCTCTGTCCGTCCTTACGCTTTTGCCCCCTTGTCCGTTGGTCTTCCTTCATTCATGTCGTTCCCTGTTCCGATTCCTTCATCCCATTTATTCCTTTGCCCCTTCATTCTCCTTCCCTCTGTCTTTCTCTTGGTTTCCCGGAATCGACTTGTGTTGCTGGCTTGTGCTGGGGGCGCCGTCTCATCCGTGGTGTGCCCCGTTATGCGGCCCAGAGGGATTCAAATTCCTGCGCATATATGGAACCCATCCATCCACATACAGTATACATGTGGTGATTTCCTGCATAATTCGTCAGAATAAGGAAAGACGCGTTTCAAGTGTCGGAGGGAGACTGAAAGCAGAGCGAAATGTGGAGATGAATATCATTTTATTTAGTTTACCCAACATATTCTGCAATGTCATGATGAAGTTGCATTGGACTATGGTTGGTGAAAACAAAATAGAGACCATTTGGATAATTGTTGCTACAGATTGACTCTCTCTCTCTACAATGATCTTGTACACCACAATGCTCTCTATGCAGTAAAAGTAATTTATTTTTGGTCCCATGGCTACAGTTCTCTACCCATGTTAAAGTATTATTTTTCTTCTTGTTCTTTGCTTCTTGAGCTTCTTTGGATGCCAACAGATCACATTCTGCGCAGTTTTTCTTTTGTGTCTCTATCTTGAAGTTGAGAACAAATTGTACTCAATTTTTTGGGGACCGTAATCCCATTTTTTTTTTGTGAAAAGATGAATCAATTGAACATGATCTGACATGTGGGCATTTCGACATAAGGACAAGGTCAAAGCACCAACTATTGTATGCTTAAATGAAAAAAAAAGAATTGAACAGAAGCGATTGAACTTCCTTTGAGACACATAGCTTGATATAAAAACTGAAATTCTTTGCAAATTGAAAATTTCAGGCCTCAGCTTTTACTGTATTGTCCAACCTGTGAAAGTACAGTAATTTCTTCTCAAGCATGCAGGATGAAGATTGCCCTAATGACATCTTTCTTTCTTTTTTTAATTCACTCTGACATTTCTAATAAAAGAAAGTACTGTAATTTAGTTCTGAAAACAAGAAAATGTTTTTAGACTCATTTTTAAATTTGAAATGTTTTCAAGTCATACAGCAGAAGGTGCTGTGATAAATTGGTCAAGAGGGGATGATGATTCATCACCTGATGCATAATTCAGACCAGATCACCAGAGACCCCGCTGTACATATTGGGTAGCACATACGGTATTCTTGTGGGCGACATGTCAAGTACAGTATACGTACAGTGTGGCCAGCAGTCAGCAGTGTCGCACAACGGGCCAGATGGGATTTGTATTCCGTGAGGAGTTCGCGGGCTTCCGTGCGTGGCTACTAACGAATCAACTGCAGTCAGTCGACCATGCAAACATCAAATTTTGCCTTTTTATACAAGCTTTATTTCCCTCTTTTTCATTGAAGGCTCACATGTGTGTGTGTGTATGTATGCGACTTGTGGGTATCCTCTGCTTCCTGAGACACAACAGGACACACAGACAATTAATTCCACCAGCACCCGAGGTATCCATCCATCCAAGCGTGCATCAATGATGATGAGTGAACATCTTACGTTAGTTGCTTCCTTTTATAGTGAGGACAGCTAGTGTCTGTTGGTCAGGACTGAAACTGCAGGTTTGTTGCTGGATGGAGTGAGATAGATGTACGGTAGATTCCTTTGCTCTTTTCTTCTTGTTGCTGTTGTTGTAAGGGTGCGCAAGTAAGTTCAGCTGTGAGTGTTCTCCTATAGTTGAACCTTGGGGAATTCCTCCAAATCGCCCGCGGGGGGGATATTCGAACTGGATGAATTTGAAAGAGTCGGGGGGAGGTTGTTTTCCACAGTGTTGTTGCTGAGGCGGGGGTTTTCCCCAGATGAGGAGCTTGCAGAAGTTTCTCACCAATATTTTTTTGCATGCGTCGCTTTTTAGCAGACGAGAGAGAGAGAGAGAAAGAGGGGGGGAAGGGGAGAAAGTCGGTCACGTTTTTCTCATCCTGGGGTTCACATCATCAGAGGAGCAATTCCCAAAAGCTGAGGCTTTTTTGTTCAGGGCTTCTTCTACAGCATGTGTTTTAGTCTATCAACTTTGGTATAATTACCGTAATGTACTGTACTGTGTATCATTTCGATAATTCGGGAGTTTTTTTTTCTCTCGTTTGACGCCAGCTTTTTCTTTCACGTCTTTTTGCATTTCCTGACAAATTCGCGATACACCAAATCCGCCGCAGCAGCATCTTCAAGTGCCAATCCTGCAACAACAACAACAAAAAAGAGACGTGAAATACAGTACATGTAATTAATTGATGTAATCTTGCACTGCATTACGTTTAGAAATTATGCTCACCGAGTGATTTGAAGATGACAACGTCTTCGGGTGTCCTGTTGCCCAGCAGCCGAGGTACTACTTGTTGCCCCAGGACTTGGCCAATTTCCGCGCAAATTTTGGCATTCGGGGTGCACACGATGTCCCCGGCCTCGACAGTCGCTGCGTCGACGCTGTCCACAATCAGCACACTCTTGGCCACCAGTTCCGGGCTCATTTCCCGCCAATCTTTCCTCGGAGCCCCGACGGCTGTTGTCAGAAAGAGACAATACTGTACAGTACAAGCAGTAAAAGCAGTAAAAGAAAAAAAGGTGCACTACTGAGAATTCAAGACCATCAGGAATAATTAGAGGCCGGGTCAGTCCTTAATTCTGCACATTATCCGTAGGAAACATGGAGAATTGCAGAAACGGAAAAGATGAGCACTATGCAGTTTCAAAAAAAAAAGGGGCAACCTGAAAGATATGGTCAGGAAGTACTGTATATAGTACTGCATAATAGCACCTGCGATGAAAGTGCCTGGTTGAACGTGGCTGTGGTGCAAAATCGGGGTCTTGGACGAGGTTGCAGTGACAATCATGTTCGCCGATGACACTGCCAATTCGACGGATTCGCACGCAACAATTTCCACGTCTGGATACAACACTCGCATTTTTCCTGCCAGGTTCTCGGCTCCTTCTGCCCTGTGATTCCAAATCCTCACCTGTGTGGTCATATCCCAGCTATTATTATTTTTNATTTTTTCCTGCTTATTGAGAAACTGAGTTTTCTGGGGGGGGGGGGGGGAAGGGAGAGAAAGAATTGCAGCAGACATCCAAGTGTCGTTTATTGGTTGATATTTTCCAGACTTGCAAGTCTCCATCAGCAGCACGTTTCGAACAGGAAATGAATAAGTGTGTGCCTTCACCTGCTTGATGTCCTTGAAAAGATGCAAAAATGCTTCAATGTGTGCCTTTCCCTGAACGCCGGATCCAAGAACGGCGAGAACTGTTCTGCTGGTACTCGCCAGGTACTTGGCAGCCACTGCGGAAACTGCTGCAGTTCTCTTTTCAGTGATGACTTCCCCGTCCAAGACCTTTATACAGATTCAATGACAATCAAATAATGGACAATTATTTCTGCATACTGTAATCGCAGAATAACCATATATATATGAGCAAGATAATTAATGCACATCGTTTCATAATAACTTTATTGCTCCTTTCATTCGATAAGATATTTGCCCGTTATAATCGAGAAGGTTTCGAATTTATGTGCAGTATCTGATTAGGGTACTGTGAATGATTTAGGTTAGGAAATTGTTCAAGGGGCGTCAGAATACTAATGAGACAATTAGATAACGAATGACTCACCGCCTTGATGGAGCCCGAAGTGCAGTCGAAGAGGACAATGATGGCATGATGGCTTGGCAAGGATTTTGCACCATTTTCTGGATACACTGTCACCAGCTTTGTAGCCAGGATGTCCTTGTCTGGCGTTGTTATCGCAGCTGGCATGACGCCGAGCCATCTGGAACAGAAAATGCTCTACATACGAGATTCCAGTGCTTCCAGCAGTTTCAACAATTTACGCAGTCGCTTTTTTTTTTATTCTCTAAAATAAGTACTGTATATTCTGTACTGTATGCCGACAGACAAAATGGAGTTTCTTGCAGAGTTGAATCTCTTCAAGTTAAATTTCAAGATACCAGCAAGAAAGAAATTAAAATTGAGTTGGGGTAACAGTTTAGGAGGGGGAGGGGAGAAAAAAGAAGGATTATGGGGAATTGCAATAGGTGATATTCTGGGCCTCAAATCTCTTCTCCCCTTCGGCAGTGGTGCCAGGATTTATCCGCAAAATGTTATGCCAAATCAAGGAGAAAAAAAATAGAAAACAAGAATTATTGAAAGAGCCGAAGTTGGGAAAAATCTTGAATTTTTTTTTAGCTTCCTGCAGAACATTTTTTTATCAAATAATGAAAAGAAATTTACTGTTGGGTAGTATTTCTTCTGCATTCCTGCCATATAGGATTAGCATTGAGGGATTTTCAGAACAATGGCTTTCCCTTTATTCCTGGATTTTTCTCAACTTTGGCTACTCAGCCAAATAAGCTGCATTTCAGTGATGTTTGGTTAAACCAAAATGCACAAGCATGTGGGAAAAAAAGTATATCCTGCTGGCACCAGCACAGTGCAATGGGAAAGGATCTGCTGTTGCCCCAGGGGGTAAAAGAGTTATGACAGCATGCTAAACTCTGAGACAAAGGGTTCATTTGCCCAATTCGCCTTTCACTTTGGCCTTTAAAAACATTCTCGCGTGAAATTTCCGTCAGCAAAATGAATCGGAAGGAGAAAAGGCGAGACTTGCCCATTGTGTTTAGGTATCGTCAAACTCTGCCTGACGGGCTGCAAAACTTGCTCTTCAGCAGTGTTGTTCTTCGTGTCGGAGAATATGCGCAAAGCATTTTCCATGGCGAGGATCAAAGGATCCCAGGGCAGGTTTTCAAGTACAAAGGCCTTGTCTATGAAAACCATTTCCGTTTTCTCCATCACTGGCGTAGCCATTGTCCAATTACCCGCTTTATAGAGTGCAATATTTGCCTGCAGGACAACACTTGACGATTAAACAAGAATTCGGGTTTCTTTAATTCTTGAAAAACTCGACTACTGCACGAAATTTCGTCAGTTGAAAAATGATGAAGGAGATGTTTATCACCATCTTGTGAATGCCTGAGAAAAAACTTGTAAAGGTTTTTTCCTTCTTGTTGAATAATCGGCAACTCTGATCAATGGATGCTGGGATTTGAGAAAAACACAAATCGTACGATTTTGTCGATTGACTTTAGGGGACTTGGATTGTACCTCAACAAGAACCAATCAATCTTCAGTACATTAACAATAATAACCAAAATATTTTCCTTGACCAATTTTTCAAATTTCTTTGAGCAAATTCTGTTTCATCATAGGCATGGGCTTTTCTACTTTTTGTCGTTGTTATACAACAAATATTCTGGGGAGGGGGGGGGAACACATATGAAAGAAAATATGTTTAAAAGTAGGAATATTCATGGATGGCGTCCCTTTAAATCATCCAAATCATTCGATGAAAGTCAGCTGATTTTCCAAATTGTGCATTCATTACTTCCCTTGGTGAAGCAACATTTCTGGAATCATCACAGATGTCCAACATTTTGCTGTGCTGTATACTACAGCACTTCACACTTCCACAATGATAACCCAGCAGTCTGCCTTCGACCATGACACAATGCTCTCGCGTGGGTAGATGTCACTCTCAATCGCAATAGAAATTGAATTTTGAGAAAAAATTATGAGATTCCTTCTTTTGCGCGGATATGAGCAAAGCAGTATAAAGCAGGGCATATTCCTTGCGAGTGATTTTCAAACAATAAACTCGACGAATTATTTTCATGTTTCTTATCTTCTCAGGTTTTCGTTGACACAAGTTTAATCCAAGATTTCAATGTCAACACGCCAAGAACACGTACTGATGACTTCGTCACACATACAGTAACTGCACAACAATTTTTCGCACACTGTATCACGATATATCCCCGACTGCTAAACACCCTCATCCACACTTTTAGATTCTTTCGCAGGATTAAAACCCTGCCATTTCATTATCATTTCTTTTTTTAATTTTGAACAGAGAACTCTTCTGAACATTTCTGATGTTTCCAACAGCAGCAGCACATAGACTCGTGTGTTATTGAGACGCTCGGGGAAGAATGAAGAGGCTCGACTGGTGGTCGGGAAAGGAACAAAAAGGGGATGACGAGGAATGATGCGAGTTTACATTTGCATGCTGTCTCGCTTTCTTGTTTACATATCGCTGTGAGTGTGACTTGTATCACTTGTTGCACTGCACTGTACTGTACTTCATTTCCTTCATATATTCTTCCTTTACTTTATTCTGCCTTTTGATTCCTCTTCCGCGTAAAGCACGTCTTACGCGGTGAAGTGGCAGGTGATATCGGTATCACTGCTTCTGGTGAGGTGAGCATACCGTACATTCATTACGCTTATTGTATTGACCGCGGGACAAAATTGAAATGAACAGCATAAACGAACCCTGGATAACTAATGCATTATTTCAGCTTGGTCTAATTCCCCTTCACACATACAGTATACTGATCATCAATTTAGCCTCACCTCGCGCAAAAACTTGGAATTAACCCCGCATTGCGTTAGACTATTTTTAAGAAAATGAAAACGTCACTTGTTGTCCGTGCAGCGTCAAATCAGCGCCAATTATTACACGAGCAGGAGTAGCCCAGTTTAACGTTGATCGGCGGTTGAAAGAGGGACTTTAGTGTCACCTTGTGATGCGCGTGAAATAGTCAAAAGTATTTAACAGACTTTCTTCCTAGATGTCGCTCAACAAAGCCAACCTAATGATATAATCAATTGTCAGTGCCCATTTCAGCAAATTATAAATGCACAAAACGATTATTCCGTTTCAAGAAGCGCCGCCGTATCAATTGCATTTTTTAGAAGAATTTCTTTGCTTCCTCAGTCTCGTCAAAACATTGCAGAACCTTTCCAAAATAGTGTACAGTAAATGCTCCAATCAGGAATTTGACTTATTATACTGATGCTGGCTGAATCACGTCAAGTTCTCGGCGAAATAATGATGCAGTAAAATTATATATCTTATTTTAAATGAGCAGCACTACCTTAAATACTTGCCGTTGCTGGCGTACGTCTCACTTGCTCACGTCAGACGCAAAACAACTGCGGAAAAAAACAAACAAGCATTGCTGGTTCCCTCATCACTGACTCATCGTCGTCAGTGTCGTAAACTACCCTGGGGGTGGGCAGGAGATGAGGGGGGTTCTTTCAATGAAGTCAGCTTCTTGCTTGACAAGGTGGAAGAAAAGTGATCCTCAACATTTCCCAGGGTTTCCACAAAGTCAAGAACAGCTAGGACAGTATTTTCGAATGCTTCCACATACAGTACTGTATTTAACTAAATTCCAAATTGAGTTTCGAAAAAGATACATGTTTCCCTATACTTGACGCATGTTTTCAACGCATTATCCCATGTACTGTAAATACTGTACTTCGCCGTTATGGATGAAAACATGCGAAAAAGATGCTGAGATTTTCCACCGCCTAAAGCGTGTCTTATTTTGGAAAATATATACCGAGAATTCAGCGCGCACTCTCGTGGGAAAAGAAAAGTTCGTCAAAAGCAAAACTGCACTTATTTTGCTATATATAGA